TGGGGCCACTCCTGGATTGGCACCAGGGCTTCTAGTTCAGCTGCGGACGCAAGGCGCTGGTTTCAACAAGCGGCGAACCGAATCAAATCTTGAAACGTCCAAGAATTGGACACGTGTTTGTCTCTGCGATTTTCGCACTGTTCGAGTTCTTAGCTTTTTGATGTACCGTGCGTTTTTCTTTTATGCGCCTTTCGAGTTTCTCGGTGATTTTCGGGTTTTCTGCTTGTCGTCGGTGTGTGCTTTTCTGCGATTGTTGAACGGTGCAGGGTTTTCTGCCGAGCCAGGATAGGACCTAGGCAAGGTCCGAGCAAGTCTTCAAGAGTTTGTCCAACTTGGCTTTGTGTTGGGCCTCACCTGGAGGGACTCCTGACCCTTTCGTGCTCCCGAAAGCACCAAATAGTAGCCAACACAGGCGTTTCTGCCTCTTCGCCCAATCAGGCCAAGAAGTCCCCAAAACATGGATACTTTGGCTGAGCTTCAGTTATTTGACCAGACTTGTTAAGGTTGTGGTTTCGCCTTCTGCGGTGCTTTTTGATGTTAACTTGTTCGATAGTTGTCGATGTTTGGCTTATCGTTTTGGTCTCTCCGAAACCACAGCCGTTCGCAAGCACACGGGTACTTTTAGGGTTTTTGGGGCTTAGTGGCAGAGGCGGATGGAGGTCTGAGAAGTCGGTTAAGATTTCGTTCGGTGAGTTAGAGTATCACAAGGGTTTTCGTTTAGGGTTCGACGGACGGTGACACTGCTGGATTTCGCAGAAACTGCCCGGATTCTGGACTGTTGGAAAGCCCTTCTAGCCGAGTCCTCGCTGCTTTTGAGGAGTCAGGTCAAGTTTGCGAAACCTTCAAAAATGATACAAACTTGAATGTATAATATGTCTATAATCTGTGTTACATTTATGTAATGCCTTATGAGCCAAAGCCCGAAGCCTGCTCAGGCATGGCCGTAAGACCTTCATCCTCCTTGCCATCGCCGGACCGACATGAGGGCAGGGCTTAGGGACCCAAGGCTGGAAGCTCGAGGATTTGATGGGAGGGCTTTGGTTTTGTGGTGCTTGTGCTACGTGGTGCTGTGTGAAGCCGTTGGTTCCGAAATTAAGTCTTGAGTCTGCTTTTGTGGCTTCGACATCGCGGCCCAAGTCTCGTGAAGAGGAAGCATGGTTCGGCCAGTGATGCAGCACCTTGACCAGCATAGTGCTAGTGTACGTGCAATGCATGTTCGTGTGTTCGTCTATGCACATGGACACCCCTGTGGTCACAAATGAAGTTGGTCTGAACGTGTGGGTTGAATGTACGTGCATTTACACTGTGCATGTTCAACCGCGCTGCACAGAAAATATGCAAGAGTTTAGTTGCATGGTGCAAAACCCAACACCTGTGGATTAGCATATTAGTCCAGTCTTGCATGCATGTCTACCCAACTGATACACATACGCATGTAACGCACATGTATGGATATGTATATGCAAGTAGAGAGGTACATCTGTGTGTATGTATATATATATATATATGCACATACACATTCATATACACTGCACACATTCGTATTGTCACATGCATACGACTGCAAGCCATTTAGCAATCAAATGCTTGGTTTCACTTGTCTTACATCGAGCCCTATGCACGAACACTGTCCTTCTGTGCAGTGAGAGCATTGCGCAACGTGCTGCCATGAACATGACATGCCACGTGTCATGCACCGTTCATCCACTTTGCGCAGTGCAAGCAGTGTATGTACCGTATGAGCAAGTCCGTGTGCCTGCGACCAGTTTCTTGCATGCACGAATTTATCCGCAAAACCACATGCAGCCGCTCACATCTTATCTCTCAGCAGTCGTGCAGTCGATGGCCCTGTACTGTACATGTATAAATACATCATGCGTGCATCGCCTGCTCAATCTGCTCACACACACACAGGCTCCCTCCTTCTTGGCTACACTGTCTCTAATTCGAGAGTCATGTCATATATCTATTTGGGCATCGGTATATACCCTCTCAGGCATCGTCCTTGATGTCCTTTATAGATACACCTTCAACAGCATGAGGAAAAATATTGTCCTGAGAAGCACCGGGACGCCAGGTACAAGTAATCAAGATCTGCCTCGTCGACTACTCGTGTAGGCTTTTGGGGTTCGTCTCGAGGCTAGGTTTTGCGGGGATGGCGAGGAATCCACATTGGGTGTTGTAGTGGGATAGTGCATATTGGCACGCCATGGCATGACGATAGTGTGACGCATCCATAGAGACATGGATGCCGAGCATTGATGTCAAAGTTGATTTCAGTCCTGCATCAGTTCCCGTGGGTTTATAGCCTAATTTATAGGCTTACAAACCTTCCCTGGGTTTATCATCTCTGCGTGACATTAAGAACCGCTTGTTGGTTGCAGAGCATGTGGAAATGCAAGGTCTGCATACTACACAGCCAGGGCCTTGAGGCCCAAGCCATCCACCAAGGTTCGTGTCCTCGCTGCTTATTGGCCACACGCTTACGCAAGACGCGATCAATGCCGCTGGCAACTGGAGTTGCCATAGTACTTTCATTCTGTTTTTGGAACCCTGAACTGTAAGCCCTGAAACCCTGAAAGTGATTAGCTTGGAGCAGTCGTCGCGAAGTCTTGCCTGCCTTGTGCCAGTTGCGAGAGTGGAACCCCCGATTTCTCAGAGGGAGTTCCTCTATCGTTGTGCGGACAAAACGGCCCTGTTGATCTTAGGTTGAAGACTGCATATTTTTGTTGCACTGTCCAGGGTTAGAGTGGCTCTCATGATGTCTGGTCGGTCAGAAGATCCCACATTTCTGCCTTCAAGATGTGATTGCGAATTGCGACATCAATTTTGACAAAGCCCAAAGACCGCTACATCCCTACACCCTAGCCATGCCTGCTGCGAGAGAGTGTGAGAGTCGAAACCCTCCCTGAGTCAAGCTTCCCTTATCTTCCATGTGCGTTGCGGAAGGTGCAACAATCTCCGCCATGCTCAGCGTCTTCCCAGCTGCGCCCATCGACTTGGAGGTTAGGACCTTTGTTAGTGAGCTCTGGGTTCGTATGCGGGTTTAGTATCGGTGCTACTATTTTGGGATTATAGAATCAGGGGTTTCTCCATCAGGATCCTACGCTAGGAGCTTCTTCTGGGTCTGCGCTAAGAAGGCAGATTTTGAGGGTGGAACTTGGACGGAAGCTGATGCAGGGTGGTAAATCGGAGTGCAGCTTCTTCGGGATTTGCGCCGTTCGCGATAGAAAGCTCGTAGACATTCCGATTGGAATGGTTGCTAGTACACTCGCATAAGCAGAAATATCTGAGGATAGCTGCCATGGTTGCAGACCTCTCGGAGAACCAGACTCTTGGTGCAACCTGTGCTGAAAAGGTTTCCGGTTTCGGCTTCAAGGTCGGCGTGGTGCGGCCGACAGTGGCCGGGGAGTGAGTGACCGGTAAAGGGGTCGGGTGCCATCCATCACGAGGATTGCGCAGAGTCGAACTTGAGTAGACAGGCAGATGCTTCATTTGGACTAAGGCTTTCCATAATGTGTTCATGCTTGGATTTCTGTCCCTGGTTCCACTCGGAGCGGAGGGTGTGCATGCTCCTGGGTGCGGAGGCTTCTAGGTCCCACAATCGAGAACCGGCTTGATGTTGAAGGCAACCGACTGGTAATTAGTAAATACAAGTCGCACAGTTTCCGGCCCAGGTTCCAGCTTTTCAGAGCTTTCGCCATGTTATGCTCTGAACGAGTCTTCCACAGCCATCCGCCAGCGAGGATCCAGATGCGAAACCACGCAATGTCAGTGTTGAGCCAGTGGCTTACGAGATCAGGGTTTGGGTTGGATCAAGCAGTAACGATTATCGCAGCAGTAGAAACGGCAATAACGAACCTGGCAGTAGCTTCCACACAGAGAGCATGGTTGTGAAATCGATAGCTGTGTGGCCATGGTTTCCTGCTCGTGCGTATGTCGATGAAAATGATGGGAAGGTGTCGACGATCAGCTATGCTTCCGTACTCTGAAATCAAGGCATAAAAACTTGCTCAAACTTCGCAAACGGACTCAATCATTATTCTACAAACAAACTAACGAGCAGTAGTTTTCGTCGGACCGTCGTCTCTTGTAATCCCAATCGTTGAATGTCTTGACTGTCCTCTCGCTGGTCGTCGTCGGCGATGTCCTTGTCGCCGCAATTGTGTTAGGGAGGTAGTTGTGACTGATCCCTTCGGAGGGCCCTTGATGCCTCTGAAAATCGGCAGCTGCAAGAACAAGAAGTTTGGCCAGTGGGGTCGTTGCAGAGTTGACATGCCGACTTGCATTGACCCAAACAACTTGCCCGTGAACCATTCAGAAGAGCAGTGGGAAGCTTCATCTCGCAGTCATCGGGACTCATAGCTGCCAGTGCCGTGGCTCTGAACCCTTAACCCCGAACCCTAAGCGATGGCCCGGCGACAGCCTGAAAGCTGTCTGAACGGTGCCTGCCCCGAGCCGTTCTGGTTCAGTTTTAGGATTGAAGCGCTGAATACTATTCTGAATCCTGACCTGAATTCTATACCTTTCATGCGAAGCTTTGTGCCTGATGAGGTCAAGCTTTGTTCCTCGCGGGGGCCCTTGGTTTCGTAGGCGGCTTCGGGATTTTGCCGCCTGGAAGCGAGTGGCATGGGGAGGGGTGTAGGTGTGTTGCAGACATGCCGGGTAGTCGCGGTGTCAGCAGATTCGTGGTTTGACGCTGCCAGCGATGTTTTCTGAGGGCCTCATGACTGCAGAGCGAGAGCGCAAGTGCAGCAGGCTGCCAAAAGGTTTTGGAAGCCAGCTATTCCTCTTGTTTGGATAGTCGTGAGAAAGATGTTGTCATTAGGGTCCAAATTTCTCTATGGCGAATCTATGGTTCTCGCTCAGCTACGTGTGCAGAATGGAGGTTGGCCGCAAATAAGGCTGAGGCTTAGAGCCACCTTCCTTGCATGAGTCGCCTGCCTCGTACAGAAATGTGAGCACAGAAAAGCCTCTGCCTCTAATTTGGAGAGAGCAAGGCATCAGAACTTGGAGAACTACTCCTGGTACTGGCTCTTAAGCGCTGGGCTCAACGTGGTGTTGCATCTCGGCAGATGATTTGCTGGGTTGATAAGCCTGCGTGCAAGCTTCCTGGTCGTGGCTTTGGGCTGCAGTCACTCGCGCGAAAGTTTGTCAGAGAGTGGCATACAAACTCCGGCACACCCAAAACCCCAGTGCTCTCAAGCCCGAAGCCGAGCGTCTAAGTTACTGTCTGCTCAAATCGGCCCTAACGCGGGCCACCGCGTGCCCCTAGGTTTGTGGCGACACTTTGCCTAGTGGCCGAGACAAAGCATCTCGCCAACAGTCCATCCCAAGGCCCTGAACGCCTGGCTTGCTGGTTCTTTCTCTCTGCCTCTCTCTCTTTGTCTCTCTCCCCTTCTCTCTCTCTCTCTCTCTCTCTCTCTCTCCCCCTGCTTCAGATACACACAGAGCGTATCATTGGAAGACTGTAATTACGTAGTCTTTGCAATGATTTATGCATCAAATGGTTTGCTCCGTACATTCTGCGCTCTGCATAATTAGGAGCTGTTCTTCCTCGTGGCAGGTGCTGACTCGGAGACCGAGTCTGAAGCGAGCACGAATCAGGACTGTGGATGCTGGGAAGATCCTGTGCTCGTTCTGGCCATCGCCCAGATGCGCCGAGCAATGAGAAGCAGTATTAGTAGGAGCAGAGGCAGCAGCACGAACAGCAATAGCGGTTGTACGGTAGTTGGAGAAGTGGTGGTAGCCGTCGTCGCAGTCGTAGTCGTCGTCGTTGCCGTCGTAGTGGCAGTCGTTGTCGTAGTAACTAGTACTAGTAGCAGCAGTAGCTATGCATAATGGTGGCAGCAGCAGCAGTAGAAGAGCGACAGGGGCGATGGCGGGACAGTGGCAGTGGCAGCAGGAGCAGGAGCAGGAGGCATGGCGCTAGCAGCACTAGCAGTAGAAGCGGCATCTGCAGAAGAGGAAGTAGTAGTAGCAGCAGCAGCAGCAGTTTTGGCTTTCCCTGGGCCTGCAGTGGCTGAGTCATAGTAGGGAGCGCAGCTGTTGAAGGCACGAGTCCTTGAACAACTTGTTTGCATGCCTGTTTCTTGTTGTCAACAATAGCAGTGGCAGTGGCTGTCGTAGTCGTAGTCGTAGCAGTCGTCGTAGCAGTTGCAAAAACAGCAGCAGCAGCAGCAGCAGCAGCAGCAGCAGCAGGAGGAGCAGCAGCAGGAGGAGCAGCAGCAGGAGGAGGAGTAGTAGTAGTAGTACGAGTAGTAGTGCAAGCAGTAGTAGTGGTGGTGGCGGTGGTGGTGGTGGCGGTTGCTGTTGCTGTTGTTGCTGTCGTCATCGTCGTTGTCGTCGTCGTCGTGCTTGTTCTTGTTGCTGTTGCTGTTGCTGTTGCTGTTGATGATGTAGGCTGTTGCTGCTGCAGGCTGTGGCTGTTGCTGTTGCTGTTGCTGTTGCTGTTGCTGTGTGGTTGCTGCTGCTGTTGTTGTTGTTGTTGCTGTTGTTGCTGTTGTTGCTGTTGTTGCTGTTGTCCTTGTCGTTGTCGTTGTCGTCGTCGTCGTCGTCGTCGTGGTTGTTGTGGTTGTTGTTGTTGTTGTTGTTGTTAGCCCCGACGCCCTGCAAACGCGCAAAACCGACATGCCGATTCCGTCGGTATTTATAGTGTTTTCGTCACTTCAGGTGCCGA